GCCAGTAATACATTTTAACATTTTTAGAAGGTCTCTTTCTAGAAGTCTATAATATAGAACTAAACTATTGTATGTAAAGTAAATAAGGTTTTTAAAATGTTTAAGAAGCTTCATTTAAAATTAAATTAAAATGCAAAGCCTCCTGGACCGGTGGCCAGGACCCGGGCAATTTGACTGCCACTGAAAATGAGCTCGCGTGCCGCCTGTGGCACGCGTGCCATAGGCTGCCTACCCCTGCTCTAACAGTTTGCTAGTACTAGAAAAAGATTAATGCAGAGGTTAGTGTTCTGTGAAGTGAATAATGGCTTTTTCAAAACTTGACAGCATGGACTGATTTAAGCTGAACAACTTACAGATGCTCCCCGACTTACGCAAGTGTTCCGTTCTGGAACGCCTTGTGTAACTCTAATTTTGCGTAAGTTGGTAACATATATCCGACCATTACGCCAAAAAAAACCCCTCCTATTTCTAGCTTACGGAACTTTTCTGTAAATGTGGATTTGCGTAAGCCAGGTTTGCGTAAAAAGGATGGTGTGTGTATATTTTTCCAGCTAGAAACTGAGGAAGTTCTGTGTTGGATATGAGTTTGCTCTGGCTTTAGGGATTAAAATAAAACTTTCAAGTGATGCTCTTCATAGGGCTATTTAAAAAAACAAAACCAAAAAACTTCTGCATCTTAACACACACAACTGTTCACCCCATCTCTATCAAAGGACCTGCCTTTTAACGTGTCTGACTTGACTGTTCAGGTCCTCTGAAAGCTCCCATTATAGGTCTCTGAGGTACTTTTTTGGAGCAAAACATTTCATTCTGAGACTTGGAGTGTAGGCAAATTCATAATGGCATTATGCAGAAGGAAATTAAAATGTATTTTAATTGCTCTCAACTAATGCTTTTCAAAAGCAAAAATTATCTTGGTCCTACAGTAAATGTTATATTCATAAGGGCCAACAAATAACGTGATCTACTGTATTAATCATTAATCCATTCTTTTGTTGAATGATGATGGCAGTAGCTTCCTGGATAGCAGCAGTATTTAGAGAAATCGCCAATCTGAATTAAACTTGTGACACACAAGCTTAACTTCCACTGTCCAGCTTGGGTTAGCTCAGTTGTATGTAGTATGCTGCCTCACCAATGTCCTACTGCAACCTATCATGTTTCTGGCTTAACTGTGAATTTATTAATCTTGAACTATCCAAGTGCTGCTGTTTAACTTGATATGACTTTTTGTATTCAACTGCATTTACTCTGAAAGATAGAATCCTGTAAACTTTTTTCTTTTACAGTGTGTTCCTGGTACTAAAAACAGCTGCAGTTGCAAAATACAAGTTTGGTTAGATTGGCAATGGACTATTTATTCCGTTTGACACGAGACTACAGTCTGCTAATGAAGATTGATCATGATTCCAGAACTGAGGAAAGCATTAGTAGAATTCACATGCACCCAGAGTGCCTAATGTGGATAGGCTCAACATGAAGCTTGTTTTGCTATTGATAGAAATCCAGAAAGAAGCATATGTCCTTGCTGATCATGCATTGGGGTGGAGGGTATCAAATATCTCTCTTGCATGGAGGAGAAAAGAAAAGGGTTTGGATGTGATACTAGTATGACTTATTAAAGTAGGAGAAAGAAGAAGAAAAGTATGTAAGATGTATATGGGCCTCTGAACTTAATTTTTGTATAGTTCCTGAAGGCAGTTATCATGAGATTTACTTTAAAAAGTTTGATTTGAATCAGAGGAGAGACGGTCAGTAAGTTTTTTTTATTTTTATTATTATTTTTTTTTAATAACTTCATGCCTGTTTACTGCATAAAGAGTTATTGAGCATTGGATGCCAAATCGAATTTGTGACTATATCAGTGCCTATCTTGAAAAGAGGATGTTCCTGATTTAAAACAACTGGAAAGAACTCTTCTGTGTCAGTTATCCAGGAGTACTTAGAGACCAACTTCTAGTAGATTTCTGGAAACTAGTGTTTAAATTTAGCTATGTGAATAATATCCGACTTAGTCATAGCTCTTATTTCCCAGGGAGACTTTGGAAGCAGGGGCTATGAGTGGGTGAAGAATCTGTGTTTTAACTTGAAAGAGTTCTCACCCACAATATTGTTCAGGTGACTGTTAGTAGCTGCCCAGTTTTCATGCTTAAAGGGCAGAAGGTCTCAGGGAAGGCCATCAAGTAGGGAATGTGATTAAGTATTCTGCTAACACATGTCTTAATCTTTTATAATAAAAAGTTGAAAGCCTATTTTGGTGACTTCATATTTTTTTTAGGAATCTGCTCAGAGAAGATTAAAGTTGTATCAGAAATCCGAGTCATTACCCCTCGTACCATGCTCTAACTATTAGACTACACTTCTAACCTAATCATTTCTCCCATTTACAACATAACATTCCAGAATCTACCATGAAATGGGATACACTGAAGGAGATCTTGATTTGTTATTCCTTTCCTTACTGTAAACCACCACTTACAAATTGCTGGGAGAAACCTGAGGTTTCTTTAATAACTTTTTCTGTGCTTCATTGTGTTGCACACCAGCTGGGGGCTTCTGAAGATAAAATTCACCAGAAGAATCAAACTAGTGCTGTTGGCAACCTCTAAAAATGCATCTTGATAAGTGTGAAATGGGGCTTTTCATTTTCTGAACATGGTCATGTTTGAGAGGGGAAAAAAATGCCTGTGAATGTAACTGTAGAAGACTTCAGGTGTCCAAATTCTTCATAGTGGATGGGCTTCGTATATCGCATGTAATTGTAATACAATGGCCTATAGAGCCTCTTACAGAGAATAGGACTCCTCACAACCAGTTCAGTGTCCTATCCAAAATGGAAACTTAAACTCAGTTGGGGTAAAAAAGGAAATTGGTGCTAGAGCCTAAACTTTGCAAATACTTCTCTTCTGTGGTTATTGCAGGAGGCATTGTCCTTCATTTGTATTAGTATTTGATACATTGTGCTCTCCCCGAACTTAAGGCAAAACATCTGAATTATGTTCTAGGCCCAGGCCTCTACAAGCCCTTACTAGAGTGGGAAAACTTGTGTGGGCCCTCTGTTGTAAAACTATACCCCCAGTCAGGAGCTATACACCCTTCCTTATTACCAAACAACCCTTCTACTCCCATTCTTGTTCCAAAGGGGGCCCTTCTACAGGCACACTCTGGCAGGACAGATGCTTGTATAAGTAACAAATGTAGACTGACCTCAGATTCCCTGATCTAGTTTTGAATGTGGTCAAAGCCAGGTTTTCAACACAGAGTTGAAGAGGCATTTGGGTGCTATGGAAAGAATATGAATGGTGGTGGCAAAGATCGACTTAGGTTGTTGTCTTAGTGTGGAAAAAAAATACAGGCGAAGCTTGATTTTTTTTGCACACGCATGCACACACACACACCTTAGCAGCTGAAGTGTTACCTGAAACCAGTAGGAAGTAAGTGCTCAGCACTCATACAAATGACAGCCTGAGTGGAGCTGGTTCGTTTCTGTAACTTTTGAAGTAGGAACACTCTTGCTCACCTCTTCCTGCCACTGTAAACTTTCACTTCTCTCTGTGTTAGGAGCTGTCAGCATGTGACAAGAATGCCCTGTTATTGTTGAGGGATGGGGGGGAAGGGAAAAACCTTTTTCCTATGTGTTGGCTTAGTAATCATTTAATATTGATGAACACTAAAGCTTAAAGGGCTTTACTTTCCAGAGGGGGTCACTGACTTCTTTATGGGGAAATTGAGGATTTAGGCCTACTGTGAACAACAGAGCTGCCATTTTAGTCATAGTACAACAGCTGGGAATAAAAACTACAGACCATACTGAGGTTGCATAGAGTACAAAGCATGAAGCACTTTCACCAAGAAAACCCTAAAGCATGTTGAAACTATCTTTAACCCTGTGTGTTCCACAAACATCTCTTTCTGTTCCATAGTATTATGCAGTGCTAAGACATTCACAGGCCTAATAGTTCTAGTTTATAAATTTGGTTAGATTTTAATTAAAATATTTCACCTTTTAGAGACTACAACTTACCAATGAGAGCATGAGGAAGGCTTCATTGTCATCTTATGAAAAGCTGTTTCTATATTTAGTTTGGTGCAGAGTTGTTCATCAGCTCTGGTGCATTTTTAGGCTCTTCAGTGTTTGAGCATCTGAAGTCTTACAATTGTTGCATCATTAGCATCCCCACTGCCATAAAAGTTGAAGTAGTCTGTTTTCCACAATCGAGAAGAAGGGGCATTACACTCCATTCAACCAGTGTTTTCAGGTACCTCTCAGAGGTACTGAACAGGGCCCCCTCACAGACAGTGACTGCAAAGAGAAAGAGGCAAAGTGATTTGCCCAAGGTCACACAACAGCTCATTAGCCAAACTAGGACTCACACCCAGGTCTTCTGAGCCCCAGTCCAGTGCCCTAGCTCTTTGACCAGATTGCCTCTCAAACTTAGTCACTCCGCTTATTAAGAATGGTTAAAACTGCTGGACTCTAACTGAACTTATTTTTCAGGAAAAAAACAATTCAGAATATTTTAAATAGGTCTAGTGTAAAAAGCTTTTCTATGGGCACCAAATGCAAGTGTGAAATCCTGCTGTTATACAACTGGAAGAAATTTAATACTTGGAGTTGAAGTTTGTCTGGCACAGGGCATAGACTAGGATACGATTTGGAGCAGGAGTTAAGTTCTGTGTGATGGAGAAAGCAGCATGTACTGTCAGTCATTTTAATACTCATGTTAAAAAGTCTGGTTAGTTTCCTGGTTTTGATGGGGAAAATTAGCTCATCTAAGTCTTCTGACATCAGCTACCTCCTTCCCTAAGCAACAGCCCCTAGAACTTTTTTCCGCACCTCCATTAAATAAGCTACTTGAAGGGAGAAGGTGTTTTGAGTCAGTCACTGGGAATACATCAGGTATATAAAGCAAACTAGAGTTCTGCTGTTCTCTGTGTGCTTCCTGTTTATGATGAGCTGGGGAAAGGTGCTGAATTATTCAAAGCAAAATCTATCCATGTCAGGTGCATGACAGCTGGACAAGCTTCCCCATGACTGTTCCTCAGTCCTGATCTAGAGGGATCCAGCAGGAGGGGAGGGGAGGATTGTTAATTCCCCAAACCAATACAATCTTTTGTCTATTTCCTGTTATGCAAACAAGGGGCTGTATATTTGAAAGAGCATCCCAGCAGAGCTTGTTTATTAATCTTTTCAGAAAGGGGATGTGAAACCGGTTTGACAGAGTTGCTGGAAACAGGACGGGGAGAGGAAGGGACTCTGTTTTTGTTTATAGAGGTTTGTGTCCACTGCAAGCCTTCCACGCTTCAGGGATATTCTTGCCACCCAAGCACAATAGCTTAGGCTCTTTCCAAAAGGCTTCTGATTGTTGTGAACATAGCACTAGGACATGCAAGAATGTACCTGCTTTCACTTGTTGCATATGCTGCACTTCTACAGGCTTTTGCAAAACTGGACTCTTCCTCTCCCATCACATGGCTTGTCACCAGGCAGCCTTTCAGATGCAGAAGAGGTCACGTATATGTGCAGCCGCCTTTGTAGAAATGCATGGG